AATTTCAGCTCTGCAGTCCATTTCCTTCTACTCCCAACATACTGCCGAAGTTCCTGAAGTAGATTTTGACTATTGACCAGTTTTCAATGAATATCTCGAAATATAAGAGAGATAGGAAAAGTTTCGTTATAAACTTTTTTGTAGCACTTAATTTTCTCTACAAAGAAGATTATGACAACAATTTCGTTATCTTCCTTAGATTCAGAGATATTGCTGGACAACTCAGCTAAGGGCTAAATCTACTGAAACCGTTTTGGCTCTTCGCTACTGAATTTTAATGCTGGTAATTTTTTACAAAAATGTCCCACAAAAATATTCGCTGCTTTCTCTTCGTCTTTGCGCACGTTTTATTTTCATGAATGAAGAGGAATTAATATTCGCCATCATTTTCTGTAACAGAAAGAGTTTCACACAACAACCCAATCAGCCGAATGATTCGCATCAATATTTCATGACTTCTCAAACTGAATGGCCGCTGGTCAATCAATTCTCCATAAAACGAAGAAAAAAACTAAACGCGATTCTTCCTTTTTCGGGGGATAAAAATTCATAGGTGACTGTTTCGACAAATTGTCGGGCATTCATGCATCCTCAAAAATAGTAAAAGCCCGAGAAAACGAATAAAAATTCCCACCTCGAGGCTTTTATTCCGCAGAATCACGCGGAGCAATCTAAAAATACTTTACCCGCCGAGTGACTCTAANATTCATGAGAGATTTGATAACCACGCATTTTTGTTCGTCGCAGTTGATATTCTTGTGTCCCGATAAAATCCTATACTGTACTGTAGAATCTATAGTATATGCCTTGGCGGAGTTCACACGATGGCCTCCGCCGCACACGCACTCTGACCTCCCTCAACGTTTCCATTTTCAGCCATCAGTTTCCTCTAATGTAACTAAAATCCCGAACTACGGCATACGTTTTCAATAATTACAAATAATCCCTGTAGTGACGGCTAATGAAATTGTGGGCTAATGGAATTGATATGTTCCTGAAATATATACGGTTCTATTCGTGAAGCGTTTGGATTGTTATTCCGTTGTCGATTATTTTTTTGTGATTTTTGAAAAAGTGGTGCCATAAGACTCTGTGTTGATTGCACATATTTTATATTTTGTCCTCGACAGTCTACGGGGTTCAGCGTTTTGGGACTTTGGGAGGATATTTGTCATCACTCAAAGAATATATTCTCAAAATTTCAGCTCTGCAGTCCATTTCCTTCTACTCCCAACATACTGCCGAAGTTCCTGAAGTAGATTTTGACTATTGACCAGTTTTCAATGAATATCTCGAAATATAAGAGAGATAGGAAAAGTTTCGTTATAAACTTTTTTGTAGCACTTAATTTTCTCTACAAAGAAGATTATGACAACAATTTCGTTATCTTCCTTAGATTCAGAGATATTGCTGGACAACTCAGCTAAGGGCTAAATCTACTGAAACCGTTTTGGCTCTTCGCTACTGAATTTTAATGCTGGTAATTTTTTACAAAAATGTCCCACAAAAATATTCGCTGCTTTCTCTTCGTCTTTGCGCACGTTTTATTTTCATGAATGAAGAGGAATTAATATTCGCCATCATTTTCTGTAACAGAAAGAGTTTCACACAACAACCCAATCAGCCGAATGATTCGCATCAATATTTCATGACTTCTCAAACTGAATGGCCGCTGGTCAATCAATTCTCCATAAAACGAAGAAAAAAACTAAACGCGATTCTTCCTTTTTCGGGGGATAAAAATTCATAGGTGACTGTTTCGACAAATTGTCGGGCATTCATGCATCCTCAAAAATAGTAAAAGCCCGAGAAAACGAATAAAAATTCCCACCTCGAGGCTTTTATTCCGCAGAATCACGCGGAGCAATCTAAAAATACTTTACCCGCCGAGTGACTCTAAAAACCGCCTCACACCTGCGTATTTATTACTTCCCTATCCAGAGCCGCGGTTTAATTTTTTTCAAATTCTTCATGGGCGTAGAGACCATGACATGTCATTTCATCTCGATGAAAAAGGCTCTACACGAAATAATACACCAAAATACTCCTAATGGAAATTGATAAAATACGACCCTGAGAAATAAAAAAAGGTTTTCGTTAAAAACTGGGTTAATTAATTTTTTTTTCATTTTGAATGCTTGTTGAGAATATTTTCGTTGTCTTTTCAAATTTCCTTGTGTGGGGACAATGTGTCGGGTTTTCTTATTATGTTTCTGCTTCCCTACGATTGTATTCCACATTTGATGAACAATTAAATGAATTGTAGAAAATTTTTGTCAAGTGTAAGTTTCACTAGAATTTTTCGCGATCTCATTATTAAAAAATTAAACTTCATGTGAAAATCGATGGAAATTCTAAATTTTAATTCACCTATGGTAATTGGGTGCTGCATATTTAAATTAATTCTGCTGCTCAAAAATTTGGAATTTTATTGAATTTACAGTGAGATTTGAAATTTCATCATTTCTGACCCTTATCCCCATAACACCGTGCCCCATCTTTATCTCACAAGAACAAGATTTACACTTTCATAATCCAAAGAAATAGGAGCCACTGTTCTTCGTATTAATTTCTCAGGATCTATTTTCCAGGACTGAATGATATGCAATCCACAGAGACGACATGAACGGCTTGACGCCCGCTCTCCGCCCCACCAAACCACTGCCCCACGAATTCCCATTCACCACCAACAGTTGTACACCGGAAAACATGATATATATTCTAAACGCCCTGTATTTGTTCCCTGCACTAGTTTCCCCGAGTCTCGAGAATCGACATGTTTCCCCTACCGTGCGCAAATACAGCTGAACCACTCGCCCACTAGTGGAGTAACCCACCGATTCGTCGGCCATAATCCCGTGCGAGAACAAAACGCAAAAGGTACGTCGTTGTACACAATTGTGTGGTGGCAAATGGAAAGACAAAGAGAAACACTGAGAGAGATAGTCACTGCAAACGAGTCCATAAACCCTAGTCGTAAAAACAGGCTGGAGAGAGAAGAAAAAAGTACTAGGGAAAATTGTCGGGAAACGACAGGAAAAGGAGGAGAAAAAAACGCCGAGGGAACGTGTACTGGATATTATCGGAGCTTTCAGAGTGCTCTATATACACGCGCTCACTTCTACCAGAAGTGGCTTTAGTGGTTTGGTTCGGTCTGGGGCTGTTTGGTTGGCTCGGCAAATTTTCTTGGCAATACACACGTCTCCCTCCAAACTGGCCACTCCATCGGCCAGTATGGACCGCATTTGTTACCCACTCGGCGATCTTCAAGATCAAATTTGTGCTCAATTCCAAAGGGACGATGAGCGCTTGACCCTACGATCTGTAATGTCGATTTGGACAGTTCTGAGAAAACTTCTCAACACTGTCACTCCACCCGTTCGTCCCACAGGGAGAAAAATTTCTGTTTAAATTTACCCTTAAATTCTAGTAATCGTATTGTTACTATTAGAAAATTACTTCTGAAATTTCAAGTAAAAAATCTGAAAATTTTTTATAACTAGTTTACATGGAATTTATATTCAATGAAATTGATATTTTTGGGTAGATGTGGTAATGACGGTTGTGATAATTGAGACCACTATTGTTCAAAAGTTTCAGTCTATTGTGATTTTCAATTTTTACAGTGAGTTTGAGAATTCCAGCTGTCTTTATGATATTAATGATCGCCGGACTAAACATTCAATTTGTCGTCAACGAGTTGATCATGAACGGAATTTAAATTTACAACATTGAGAATTTAAATGTAGTTATTACTTGAATTTCAAACAAATTATAATAGTGAATGGTCTGAATTTTTTTGGAATCCTGGGAATTCCTTACAAGTGACATATTCACTACAATTCCAAGCAATTACGTCTTGAAAAATCACATATTCAGTTGATATTCTCAAATCAATCAATACTGTAAATAGCAGCTCAATTATTCACCGGAAATTATGAAAATTCAAGTGAATTTGAGGTGTTCCACGCCAAATGAGTCAACGGCTGACCCTCACTGTTTTGGAAATTGATTTCGATTTTTTCTACGATTGGAGAACTAGAAATCTCTCAATTTTTTCAGATTTTTTCGACAGCCTATTTCGGAGATATGATTTTTTCTTTGTTTTTTCGTTTTTTTAAAATACCTCTTATAATCAAAACAAGTATTTTGAGCTGTCATACAAGTTGGATTTCGTCCCGGATCTATTTTATTTTCAATTTTTTCTTTTCGAAATCACGCGAATTTGGTCAAATACCCCAAAACGACTTCGATTATGTATCAAAAAAATATGTAACATATTAGTATATATTTTACTTCATTTCGTAATCAAAGGCAATTAACGCCATTTTAGGGTATTTTACTGAAAGAAAAGGAAAAAAAATGAAACGTTACATAATTTTGAAAATTCGGTATTATCGGCACCTGGGGTTGAAAAAAAATTAAATGCAGTTATTGAAAAAAATAAAAAATCACATCTCCGAAACAGGTTGTTAAAAAATCTGAAAAAATTGAGAAATAGTTTTTCTAGTCCCCCATGGTCGAAAAAATCGAGATCAATTTCCAAAAGTGTGAGGGTCAGCCATTGATTCATTTTCCACGGAATACCTCATGTATTCTTAAATTTCCAATTGAATGAAAATTCAAGTGACTCGTTGAATTTCCGTGTTATTTCTACTTGAAACAATTTGAATTCTGCCAGAAACTGGACCCCAACATCGAATTGAAGGCCATTCTGCTGAAAGTTACCACAAGGCTATCCATGAAATTTAAATTCTTCAAGTACAAATACCAAAGAAGTGTTGTAATTTTCACTGATTGCATTTTTCCTAGAATTCAGGTGAAAATGCCTGGAAGCTCAATACGCTGCACGACTACTCAATTCTAAGGGTAATTTTTTATAGTAATTCCTCTCCGTACAGCATTTTTGCCAAAACGAGTGATTACACCGCAATTTAGTCAGACGAATTACGTTAATTCGTTGAATGATTTTAATTACAATAGTTGATACAATCAACATCTTATTTAAATAGTATTCGGCGAAATGCTCGGCGAAAATCTTTGTTGACTACAGTGTATATAACTGGATTGAGGGCGGAGTTCATGTAACCGAGCCAAAATGCAATGGTGAATGCAAGTCCTGGTATCGTTACACTCGGTATCATTGGTTTGATAATGTAAAGAAAGAAAAATGGCAGCCAACAGGCTATGAAACTACCCATTATCAGGCCCAGTATGAGTATCGCTCTTTTCTCCTTTTTCCTCGCTATTCGCCGCTTCTCACGCTCTGGATCCCTCGGTTTTGGTGTTTTTGCTTCAACAGAAACCCCATCACGATTGCCATGACGAGTGTCATTACTCGATTCCTTTTTTATTTTCCCCATTGCTTTCTTACCGAATATCGGCCGACATATGCGCAGCTTCAGGGGCTTCACCACAGCACACTTTGACACAACTCCGCTGTCCGATGATGATGGATCAAATTCCGAAACCATGTCGACGTCTACACCGACACTAGGCGCACGACAACGGACTGGAAGGCTTGGGGTGGTAGATTTTCCATCACCGTTGGCTGACAGGGTTGCTTTGAGGTTTAGCTTCTGCATTGGCATCGGCATACCCACCTGCATCATTCACCCAGATAATTGATTTATTCTAATCAAATTGAGTTTATTTGGGAAAAATAAATAATTATTGGTGAGAATATTTTTCTACAATATCATAAGAATTTTCCGGGATTGAGCAGTTAGTTGAGGATATTCAACTATCTTTCATCGATTTTTCTCAGATCTTTAGTCAAGAAAGTCAGCACTCTATGCCAATTGCGTGAGAAAAATATGGAATAAGTTAATTGATAATTATCATATTTTAATAATTATATCATTTTTCAATAATAATTAAAATATAATATTTTAATTATCATATTTTAATCATCACTATTGAATAATTAATGAACAGTCAATTTCCTACTCTACTAATTATTTGTTTTCATGAAAAGGGAATGTGCGAAGAAAACCAATATGTTATAGAGTTTTGAATATTGAAGAATTTATTAATATTTCGGAAAAATGGTTATTAGGTTTGAAATTTTGTAATGAAAATGTAATTTTTTATATTAAAAACTTTCCAATTATTGTACACACCTTCTTTTAAACAAAGTCTCCCCTTAAAACTGGTGGAAACTCTGATATTTAATCACACAAGTATAAGATGACAACGAAAATGTCAAAGTACTTTGAAATCCTTAATAATTGTAAATGAATCGTCTTTTTCATTCACCTGAGGTTATTCAAAGTGTTCTCAGGTTCTGGTACAGTCAGTAAAAGAAGAGAAAACTTCATTGTCATAGTTACTTGTTTTACCGACCAGAAAAGAACCTAGGAATCACTCCCGAGATAATCTGAGGTTTTCCAGGCAAGAAAAATGTAATTTTACCGTTTCACTTATAACTTTCGATCTCATCCGTTCCCAAACGAGTATTGAGTTGAATCAACTTGGCAAGAAATTTGTCATAAATATTTTCAAAGGTAAGTGAGACGGTAAAATTTTTATGAGAACCCTTTCTGCAAGTCTCACTCTGCTTTATGAAAATTTCACTACCTCTCTCAGATCTCAAGATATTTTTCGAGAGGAAATTGACTTATTCTCTGGAGAATACCCAAGTGCTTTTCCAATTTTTTTCAGTTGAAATCCCCTTCAACATCTCGGGCTGAACATCAAAGCTTTCATTCAAGACCAAGCTTACGGTAAATTTCTGGACGTTTTGGGTTGATTTCATTAATCAAACTTGTTGGAGTGAAAGTCAATGTCTCTATTGAACCGTTAAAAAGCGTAAAAATCGGAAAGAAAGATAGAAAAATCTGTCCTCTTATACTTTTCATTATTTATTTACAGTGCCGATTTTTTTTTTTGAAAAAGCTCACATTTTATAAAATTTAATTCGATTGATGATGATTATGTACGAATTAATCCAAATATTTCTCACCCAATTTAATTACCAGAATGATGCTATATATAGACAGCACTTGAATTACCTCAATTGGCTCAAGCCCATATTCGAAACACGGTAACTGGAAATTTATGCCTTTTTGAGCTTATTCTAGAGGTTATTCACACGAAGGAAGGATAGATCATCCACGGATACGAGGTAAAATATTTCCCCTCAGGGTGATTAATATCGAAAAAATCGTAAATCACCCGGCATACTATAACACCGACACAGCATTTTCTCGACAAAATGACCTATTACCCAGAATGGAGTTCCTCCATTTTTGACATATTCGATGTTTTACAACAAGATCTTGTCTATACAAATTGTAATATTTACATGACAATTACACACTGATAGAACGGATTAGTTATTGTTAGCGAATGGATTTTGGTTGGAGGTTAGGGTCTATTCGGTCCAACCAAATGTTCATTCGTTAATAGTTAACGAATGTATATTTGAGGAGCCGTGTTTGACTTGACTTTCGCCATTCAAGTGAACCATTCGTTAACTATTAACGAATATTCATTTGGTCATATTCAACTCTACCATTCGTTAATAGTTAACGAATCTCGTTTGGAATAAATGAATCATTCTATCAGTGCACGATGTACATAATGAATAGTACTCAATTGAAATGTGCTAATCTAAAAAATAAATATTCATGTTTTGATGGGCAATTCAAGTACAATGGGGAATTCTTATTTTCTGCCCAGGGATCGCCATCGATATTAAATTTTTGAAATATTACATGAATTTGACCCTTACATTAATGAAGGTTTAAAATATGTTGATCTAATTTGTCAAATAATATAATATTAATAATCTGATTTTTTCGAATAATGTAAATTTACCGCAAAGTAAATAATTCAAATTGCATAAAAGGGGATTTTCGATTACACAAATAAACATCAATCTTCTTACCTCAATTATTGATTGATAAAATAGTTAAAAATTTGAATATTTGAATTGATGATACTTGAGTAATCAAAAAATTTAAGAGTGATGTTAACTAATTGATGGCTACAATATTTAACGATAATTAAATATTATAAAATTGGCTCTCCCTATTTCTGGCTGCTCAAAAAGTCGAAATTCCATTGAATTTTCAGTGAAATTTGAAATTTCATGATTTTTTTGCTCCCAAAATCGAATTAAATGTCGCTGGCCTGCACATTACTACACTGATAGAGTGGTTTATCTATTCCAAACGAGATTCGTTAACTATTAATGAATGCTAGAGTTGAGTATGACCAAATAAATATTTGGTACTAGTTACCGAATGGATCACTTGAAGGATGAAGATGGAGTCAAATAAGGGTCCTTAAATATGCATTTGTTAACTATTAACGAATGAACGTTTGGTGAGACCGAATAGACCCTAGTCTCCAAACAAATCCATTCGTCGACAATAGCTAATCCTTTCTATCAGTGTAGTGAACTGTCAATGAAATTTCAATTTTTTTTCGAAAAGTGTTGTAAGCTCATTTTATCAAGAGAATGCTGTGTCGCTGTTGAAGTGTGCTAATCACCCATAGATTCAAGTTATGTCATCCTTCATATGAAATATCCTTATGAGAAGCTAAAATACCCAATGCAAATGATTCATTTCGATCGTTTCGCGCGCACAGAGAGAAATGTTCAGTAAAAATTACAGAACGCACAATGCGCTCACCGATTAGGGAATCGACGCAGAAAATTCAAGTGACGGTATCGTAATTTTTCACAGGAGATTCAAATAAAAATTACGGAACGCTCTGGAAAAATTCCGTGACAGTTACGTAAAATTTTCTACAACTACATAAGTCAATAAAGAAACGTGGGAAATCATTTGCTGTTTTTGGATTAATTTATTGTTGAATTGGTTGTCTGCAGAATTTATTGTACATTGAATTGGTCATGTGTTGAATTTACTCTGTGTTAATTATTCATGAAACCCATCCGCGTGCAATACTCTCAATTCCGATTAACCCACCTCCCCCTTATTTCACTGAACCATCGAGTACCGAGTACAACAATTTGGACAGATACTTGCATTTACCTTCAGCGTATCCTTCTCCTCCGACGCGAGATTCACCGTAGGATCAGCCTCTGAAGTGCTGACATCACTGGCATAATCACACGTTACAATAGGTATTTGCATCTGTGGACTCTCAATAGTGGCAACATTCTCAATGATGGTGATTCCCGGTGACTGTCTCGAGTCTGTTGCCGGTGTTAACTGGGTGAAACTAGTCTGACGGATATCCGGTGACTCTGGTGGTGCCGCTGGACGTGGTCGTGGCTGCTTCCGTATACCCCGTCTCGCTCTCTCTTTAGCAGCGTAATATATTCTTATGTATACAAACACCATTATACAGGATGGTAGATAGAAGCTACCGAGTGCCGAATACAACACGTAGCCAATATCCTCGGACAGCTGCAACAGAAAACAGGAAAAATCTGTTATTTCCAGTTGGATTAAAAAAAAACAGTATCGCCCCTGTTGATGGGACTGTGAGTTATAAATATTTATACCCAGATACGCGAAGATTATATTCCGGTTTCATTGTTACATAGCGTTGTGAAGTCAAATTTATTCGATCGTGTGTGGAGTACATACGTCCGGAATTGATGGCCCTCTGGGTTATACTCCATGTGCGCGTACACATGCCTGAGCATCAATTATTTGGACCCCACGGAGTCATAGAAAATATTTACGAAATTGGTAAAGAGTTATAAAAAGAGAAAACATGTGAACTCACCATCAATTCCAATTCTATTATTTTACTAGACTCTAGGCTCGCGCCGCTCGCCAACCCTCATATGACCCGTCCCCCTCATATGATCCCCATATGATCCTCATTCTGACCCTCGTGACCCTGATTATATCCCTTATTTTAATCCTTCCTTTCTGACCCTTAATTTTGAAGTCTTAATTTCGCATACCAAAGTTTCATCACCAGAAGTTTCATAATATAGAGAGATATATAGAGACCCTTATTTTGACCCTTGTAACCCTTAGTTTCTGAACGCCATGACCCTCATTTCGACCCTTAATCTGCCCTCGTGACCGTTATTTTGACCTCGGTGATCCTTAGTTTCTGACACTCGGTTTTTGACCCTCATGACCCTAATTTGGAAACATATTCTGACCCTTAATCTAACCCTCGTGACCTTTATTTTGACCCTTAATCTGGCCCTTGTAACCTTTAATCTGACCATCGCGACCCTTATTCGAACCCTCGTGACCCATATTTTGACCCTCGTAACCCTTATTTTGATCCGTGTCACCGGCAATTTTAGAGTCTAATTTTGAGTACCAATTTTCATCACCAGAAATCAATTTGGATTTTTATAATATAGAGAGATTGTACACGTGTATTCAACCCTATCAGTTGAATGCAAGTGTAAATAAATTATTGTCTAGTTTGTTTTTGTTGCGAATAAGAATGAACAGCATGACTGAATTCAGTGAATTCCACACTCAGAAATAGTACATTATGTCATGAGGGCGATAAGCGGCGGTTTGTGAGGAGTGTGGAGTTGCAGCAAGAGGCGTGGCAAGCAGGAGACGAGGATCGCCGAAGGCGATCCGAGTCGGACGCTTGCCATGCCGAGTGTTGCAAACTCCACACGACTCACAAACCAACGCTATCGCCCGAATGGCATATACTATTTTTCGTCACGAAGGCCCGACGCGGGTGTGGGCGCGGGAGGGGGTCCAGGGGGACGAAGTCCCCCTGGTGGGGGGGGTTGGGGGGGGGCGAAGCCCCCCCCCACTGAAGAAAAAAATAAAAGCAATAGAAAAAAATAAATCGAAATAAAATCAATATCAGTTGATGCGAAAATAAATAACTAGTAAAGTCCGCCAAAATATCCAAAAACAGTAGGTTGATGACGGTAATTTTGGACCTGTGAAAAGAAAATTGCATAAAAAATAGAAAATAAGAACAGATATCAAAGATAAAAGAAGATACTCAGCTGTTCAATTTTTCTTCTTTTATTAAGAACAGAAGTCGACGTTATAAATACTGATATTTTAGAAATTGTTGTTTTTTGAACAAAAATATCAACTTTAAATTGAACAAAAACTCGGAGAGTGACTTTTTTCTAATGATAAATCTTCTCAATGACACACAACAACATGGCTACCACTAGTGGGTTAAGTTGTAGAGAAGGCCGCTAGAGGCGCTGTACAGCTCATCCGACTATACGTTTACCCGAACGCAGAGCGCATGCCCAAGTGGGGGGAACGTCAGGGCACATGGTGACGCCCACTTTATCGCTCCTAGGATGGGTAAGTGAGATTTACCCTCCTTGGAGCACCGAGCGTCTCATTTACCCTCCTTGGAGCACCGATTATTCAAGTGCCGCGGTAAACTCTCTTTACCCCCTCTCGACAGAGCCCGAGTAAGCGCCGTTTATCGGGCCGAGTGACGAAAATGTATTGGATAGGGTATGGGTGGACTATTCATCACGTGTATTTCAATTATTCTGCGCCTGCATTTCGAGGCACTCGGCGTAATGATTATAATGTAAACAATAAAAATTTTACCGGGGTTTTGTTCACTTTGGTTTTGTTATTGAATTGGTGGGCGATTGAAATAGGCGACAAATCAGTGAAAATAATTGTGCGATATTGGAAATGAGAGAGTGGATTCAATACGAATGGTAATTCGAATGAATTTTACTCTGGGGTGGTTAGTCAAGTATTAATTGTGAGCGAATGATATTTTAATGAACGGGAAATTGATAGCGGCTCGACGGATTCAATTCCTCTTGCCATTTTAATGGGGTTTAATATTTGAAGAAGTTATTTAGGGTGGATTGTGATTCAGGAATGGTTATTAAATGAGGGAAATATTTATGCGGATGGAGGATACATGTTGTTGTATTTTACTGATTACTGCTGAACAGATTTGAATGATTAAATTTGGGGAGACGCAAAATTATTATGCGGTTTTTTAAATGGGAAATAGTGCATGATATGATCCATAAATTTTGATGACGGATGATAATGGAACTAGGTTAGTCACATTTTTTGATGCAGCAGGGATCACGGAGAAAAAAAGCTTCTCATTTCCGGCAAGTACTCCGTTGATACTGAAATTTAGAGACCAAAAGTACTGGATTCCAGTGAAATTTCTCTTAGGATCAGAGAAAAAGTTCTAGTTCTCAGCAATTTTTACTGTAATCGAGCAGCCATGGTACTTGAATCCTCCATCACATAATACAATATTTGAATGCCGCCGACGATTCTTATTTTAAGACCCGAGGGTTCTTCATTTCAGTACCGTAATGCAGGAAACACTGGAGAATAAATTAGTTCTGCCGAAAAATCACATGTTCCCCTCAAGAGATCGTTTGTAGTATTGAGTAAATTTACTTGTGGAAAAAAAGAAAGTTTCCACCACAACATGATAATTTTTGCAGTACTAATTGTTCTCGCGAGACATTTATATGTCTTTCGGGTAAATACATTCGTTCTACAGAGAATTATATGAGGCTCCGGTTTTATCAACTGTATGTTATTGAGCAGTTTATATCCTTGTCCAATAAACACTCAATTTCCGTGGGACAATTCATAATTTCAAGAGGAAACTCCAATTTTCTTGCTGAAAATTGTTACTGGCCAGACTAAATAATTTCGAGGGGACAATTTTTTTTTTGGGAAAAAAATATTTTTTCCTCGTCAATGTATTCTTTTTTTGGTATAAACCTATGGAGTTCTCTCCGATCAAATGATTGTCGCATAATAAATCATTTTTTCCTACCAACAGATCGAATTCTTCTAGGAATATTTCTGACGATCACGACAAAAATTTAAATTTTTTGAATGATATTAAATTGCAGTAGCGAAGTAGTAAAACGGTACAAGTCAATTTTGAGTATTGACCAGTTTTCAATGAATATCTCGGATTCTAAGGAAGATAGCAAAATTTTTGTTATAACCATTTTTGTAGAGCCGATTGAGAGCTGCAACAAATATAATTACGAAAAATTCGCTATCTCTCTTAGATTCGGAAATATTCATCAAAAACTCAACTGGGAGATGAGTCAAATTATACCATTTTACCACTTCGCTACTGATTTCTTTCTATCAAGTTGGTTAATTTCCCTCAAGTGAATCTGTTCCACTCCATCAAATATTCTCACGTGGAACATATAGTATCTTTGAATTCGAATTCGTGATTGAAAATTCTGCGTAATTTAAGCCGAAAGCTCTGATGTTTAACCGAAAACCGCATGGAAATTCCTTTTAATTTCAACGGATGAATCGAATTGATTAAATAATTAGGCAAATCCGTTCTCGTATAATCCCCATTAATTTTCATCATAATCATCGTCCAAATGTCATTACGCTTTTTCTTCGTGAGTCCAGGGAATAAGTACTCAATTCCCTATTCAGTTACTTTCATCTATAACAGGAAAACCACTCACATCGTACTCTCGGAAAATTCACCGCAGGCTTTCTCTGCTCACATACACGGTGCATCGCCCCCACCGCTCCACACTTCCCATCGTCCTCTTTCACTCCACTACCACCGACCCCTGCGCTTAACATTATTATTCATAGTTTCATAAATTTTCATTCCACGCCCGCAGGATTGGTCGTTATGCTTCACGTAACTCTACATGAACAACACCAACAGACATGCATAACCCGCCTCGCTTGCACTCTTTTCATTCTTTTATTCTGGGATTCTGTCTCTTGTCACCATCTTTTCTCGCATTCAAATGGATGCATTATAGGAGACCAATTAGAAGCGCTGGATCACGGACACTATCTCAAACGACCAAAGTCTTGGCAGAGTTGGCTCGTACTACACTGATTGACAAAATTATTTTTATTCAGATGTTTCATTTTTGGAACCAGTATTACACTGTTAAAAAATTTCGTCTGACATTTCCAATACACTTTTTGAAAATTTTATATCGAATTTCATTACCACTGAAATTACAAGGGATTTCGTTATTAAAAGTTCAAAATTTCGTGGAAAAATAAAAGAGAAGTGTACATTTCAGTTATATTTTTCCCTGAAAATGAACAGAAAACCAGAAAATTCCGGTAAATATATTTTACAATTTTCAGAGCAGTGACACTGAATGCGATTTAGGGGGAAAAAATTATGAAATTTCAGGTTTCACTGAAAATTCAATGTAATTTGGCTCTGAATATTCATATTAGATTGGGAGTTTAAATAAATTAAGGAATTCTCGTCTTTATACTGCTTTTAATTTTGGAATTTCACCGAATTTTCAGTGGAACCTGAAATGTCATGATTTTTTTCCCCCTAAATCGCATTCAGTGTCACTATCCTAAAAATTAGTAATCAACTGTCCATGATATTTCATTTTTTTTCTAACAGTGTATATATTTGATAAATTTTAAATAAATAAGATCTTACAGTGAATATCAATTATTTCCTCTTGCGC